TTTTCTTTTCCAGCCTCTTCCAGGGGTTCGTCTTTCACTTCACCAGCGTGTGCTTCGTTTCTCTGCAAACATGCCGAATTGCACACAGTCCCGTCGGAGTCTCGCACTGAAATCTCGGGTCTTGGACCTTTACCTGCCGCCTGGGGTTGATTTATTTTCATACTTGAATTCCCCATGAGTTCAGATTCTGTCCTGCTGTTCACTCGCTCTGGAAACCTGACAGAAATATCCGGCTGTGTTTGTGCACCTCCCGCTTTAGCAGTTGCGTCACCTGAGCCAGGTAACATCGCTTCTTTTCCTCCACTTTTGCTTTCAGAGGCCTCTGAGGACACGCGGGTTCTGGTTTCCACGACATTTTCTCCACGGGATTTGCGATCATCAGCTGGACTATTTCTGTCACTCTTCTCGATTGAACCGGTTGATTTCCTACATTTCTTTTTAAGGCAAACGTATTTCTCGCCATTTTCCTCTTTGACGTAAGCTACGCTGTCAACATAGCGTTTAAAAGCTTCCTTTGCCACTGATTTTAATGCAGGATCTTTAGGGATTGTCGCACAAAAATGATCCGTTAAATGCACGGTTTTCACGCGCCCTCCTCTCTCCTTTATGAAATGTAAAACCGCTTCTTGGTTGCATTCGGTCGCCATCGGATGTATTCGTTAAGCTTACGAAATACTGTCTCTGAAAATGAACTATCACCGAATAGGTAACAGAAATCTGCCCAGTTAATGCCGATGTAAACAGACAATGCTGCGTCTGTCGTTAGGCTGCTCGATGCGTCTCTCCGGACCTGCAGCGCTCGGGTTGTCCTGCAGGGGGAGCGCTGCGCTTCTCTGCTCTACAGCCAAACGAACGGATTTATCAGTGAAACGTAACACTGTGTTCTGTTAATGTTTCATGAAAGATGCCTAATATGTCCAAAGTCTAGAAAGAAGCGTTAACGAGCACTGAGGTGACACGTTCCGTTACTGTGATTCAAGTAAAAGATCATATTTATTTTCCAAGTGCTAATAGTTGGTTTGTCCCTTAATAAGATAGCAGTTTCCTCTGAAAATGTTTTCTAGAGCCAGTTTGGTAAATATTTACTGACTCTGTTATTTCCAAAGTGTTCTTCTTAAAAACTAAGTTAAATAATAATCTTTTAAACGATGGTCATGTGCAAACAGGCAAGCATTTATAGTTGCAATAACACGCAATGATGATATGCTAAAGTGTGATCTGAGCAAATATGCTGGCAAACATCTGTAATGAACATCTGTAATCATTCCAAGTGACTGATGAAAAGCTACAGAACAGTCTTTCTCAGACCTTTTTCTGAACTTGGATTCTCTCTCAGATCAATCTGGATGACAAACCATTAGTTTCAAAAGTGGGCAGGCCACACAAATCTCTCTGCTGTTTAAACAGAGTTAGTCCAAAATGCAGCTGCTAGATCATATCACCACAATGTTATCATCTCTACTTTGGCTACCTGTTAAATTCTATATCGATAATAAATAATACTTCTACATAAGCCCCTAAATGGTCTGGCTTCATTGTATTTAACTGATCTTCTATTGCACTACAATCCATCACAGTCTATAAGGTCACAAAATTCTGGACTATTGATCGTACCAAGGATATCAAAGTCCATTAAAGGAGGTAAAGCTTTCTCTCATTTGCCTCCTAAACTCTGGAATAGCCTTCCTGATGATGTTCGGGGCTCAGACACACTCCATGAGGAGTTCAAGGTTTTTCTCCAATACCTCAGCACTGATTTTTTTCCCTCTTAACACAGTCACCACTGGCTTCTTGATTGTGATGTTTGAAACATGCATTTTCTGTAAAGCAGCTTCGGAACAATATGTGTTGTAAAAAGCGCTATTCAAATAAATGAATTGAAATGAATGCCAGGTCCTACATCATTTAGACTAGTCATACATAGGCCTATATCACCACATACATTAATCAAAGCAATTCAGCACGGTTTCTTCCAGATGTGTATGTACTGTTCTGCACTTCATGTTTCTGCTATCGCTTTGTGTGGTGTAGTCATGAAATTTAACACCGTAGCATTTTTGATATTGTTAGCTCTTTTGCAATCAATTGATCAATCTTTATGATGAATCTTTGATGTAAAACCTATGTGAACCTAGTAACTAGTAGAGCCACATTTACATTAAAGAAAAATAACTTTTTGGCTACTGATTAGGTGCCTGTGTGTGAGTGTGTGTGTGCACGGGTGTGTGTATGTGTGCATGTGTGTGTGTCTGTCTGTCTGTCTGTCTATCTATCTATCTATGCTTAAAATACTTTTGGGAAATGCAGTCCAGACTGGTACAGCATTTCGTTCAAACCCTCTACATGATGTCTGTCAATGAATGCTTCAAGTCACACCACATGTCAATAGGACTGAGGTCTACTGTTTTTTCTCATCTGTCGGCAGCATATGGACCCACTAATGCCCTTCCAAGGAAGGAAAACATATAAACCGATGGATTACGGCAGGCGGAAGAGGCAAGATGTTAATTTTACAGTCACACTCAACTGCAGCAGATTTAAAACAAAAAATGCTAGGGTCATTTTAGCACAAAATATAGTGTTACAAACAGAGGTTACATCATTTTTATTTATTTTAAAGTAAAAAGTTGCTAGATTTATGATGTTGTGGCAGAAATGCATCATCTTACCACACCTGAACAAAGTAGCAGTTTCTGCTTTAGCATTTCTCTTATTAATGATTCATGAACATGTTTGTGATCAAGTGCAAATGCCTACAGAATCTCAGCTAAATGGTTTTTTTTTCCTGGATTCTGAAACATGAATTTCTATTGATCTTAGTCTATCTTTTTCCTACATCCAATGAGAGATTGCAGTAATTATAGAAGAAACTTCAGGCCATAATAAACTTTTGAGGACTGGATACACGTGAAATCTTGTGTAAAATAAAGTGCCTCATCCCATCATCAACCGTCTCAAGGAAACATTAACAAGTCACCCGGAAATGTACCTGCTTCTAGTACCTCGTTTTATTGGTCACCTCTGTTAGCAGTGATGAAGCACACCGCTTTGCATGAAGGCAACCTTAAATTCAAAGGACTTTATATAAAGTGAAAAATGGTAGTTCACTAATTTCCAAAATTGAAAGAAATCATAATTCATGAATAAATTTGTCCATGAAATAAAAACTAAAATGTAACCAACAAAACCATTGCTGAAACTACATTAAACTGAAATCTAGAGTAAATTTGAAAATAGTAATAAAGCAAATATACTTTGAATCATTTCTGATGAGCCATCATATAAAAAGCTACAGTAAAAACGCCAGTTTAATGACCAAGATTTAGTGACCAGGTTTTAATTGAAACATTGGTGCAACATCATTTCAATGTCACATCACAGCATGACCTGTAATGTTCACAATATTTACAAAACTGCTGTTTAAATAATTCAATCAGCTCTTCATATTGAGTTAGTGTTGCTGGCAGATGTTTACTCCAGTGATTCTGAGCACAATGCTGACCTCTGACCTGTTCCTAACCCGTCTATGACCCCTAAACCACTACTGCCCCTCAGTGCTAAAGCCATTTACTAACCCTTCTGTTCGTATATTCATGAAAGTAGCACAGACACAAAGACAAAAACAAACTCCTCTCACCTAAGTGACATTTCCCATGAACGCCTTTTAGAACAGTATGAGATTCAACAAACCGACAGCTCATCTGTGTCTTTCCATAATGCAGAATCAAACACACCACCACATTACTACACCACGTGGAGATACACGCAGTGACTCCTGACGTTACTGAGATAAAGTGATTGGTGTCCGGCTGGTCATGTGATCTCATGAGGCTCCTGACCGTCTTCATGTAGAGACAATCTAATTTTATTTCATTACTGATATGACTGGAGGCTTCCATCATTAAGTGGACAGTGAAATTAAGATTTTCCAAAAGTACTGTTAAATTCTTGATGAGGGAAACTTTAACAGAGAAAATACTGAGTGCATCATGAAAGGCAAAGGAACACTGTGTGTTAACGGAATAATACTGAAGTGTGTGTGTGTGTACATAAGTACAAGGCTTTAGCGAGTATCTGCGCAGGGCCATATTATTGCCAAGTTTACTGAACATGTCAAATAAACAGGGAGTCCATGCGTCATTAATAACATTATAAGGCCCCTAGTTTTCCTCTTCGTTGGCCATTACAGTAAGAACGACTCCAATGAAACCTCACAAACCAGTGCTGTCTAACTCAAACAAATACCACAAAGGAGAGACCAACTTAACCATATAAAGACAGAAAACTCAGCAAAATGACACAGGACAATTATAAACATGTTCATGTATTAGTGTTTAGTGCTGGAAGACCTAAATATATATATATATATATATATATATATATATAGAAGCCCACGAGCTCGAGTCAAACCCGCATCTAACCCATTGAGCTGGTGAAGTCCACTCCGACACACACACTCAAAATACAACTCAAACTGAAGCTTAGAAAAGTCTTAGATTGACTCTTATTCATTGTAATGTCGCAGGGCCTTATGGGCCGATGAGACATTTCTGTTTTGTGTTTTGTACAGCTGAAGATAAAGTGTGCATTGAGTTGGCTTGTACATGTCATTATCCTACAGTATTTACACTTCTTCCCATGTTTTTACCATGAAATTTCTGTATTGTCTATATTACACATCAAAAACATATCAGAAATATTTGGACTGTCTGTGTTCTTAAATGCAGTAATTATTTTTTCGGGGTTTTTTTGCAGTTTGATATTTTTCCTTGTACACTAGAAAAAAAATAGTTCTTCAACAAGTTGTATTTGCTGCCTTTTCTAATTGGCTGATCCAGCACCTGTCAGTCACTGGATGAGGGCGGAGCCACGATGAGTCGTCTGCTAGAGTGTAGCACCACGATCAGAGAGAGAGAGAGAGACACTGACGCTGCTGTTATCTGGAGATCTTCCTCCTCTTGGGTTTGGGCAGCTTGACTTGACGATCCTGATGAACCTGCAGATCGACAGACAACAGCTTCACTGTATCACCCCTTCATCCAATCAGAACAAGCTCCATGAGGTGTGTGTGTGTGTGTGTGTGAGAAACTCACAGTTCCAGACATCTTGTCCAACTCACTCATGGCCTCATGAATCGCAGCTTCTAAATGATGATTCAGTTTTCCCGCCCTGCGAGAGAGAGAGACACGAGATGCATTAATAGCGCACCTTTAAAAACAACAGACGTCGAGCCAAACTGCAGCACAATAACACAAGCGCTCAGAAAGAAACATGAAAGAAACACAACATTAATGATTTGTACTATCTATGCATTATTGTTATTGACATTATTTTGTTGCTAGTCAAGTCTGGTTCCTCTCAACATCTCGGCGCAAATGGAGTTTTTCATCGACTGGGTGCTAAGCCCATGAGCGCACCTGTTACTGTGACGTCATCCGGTGATCGAGCATCAAGTGTTCCGAGGTTGAACAATAATGACCATTTTCCATGAAGTGGACATTTACGTGAGTCACTGAAACAATGTAAGTGTGCTTTGCTGCATTTAGCTAGGAGTATATTAGCTAGGAGCTTGTTTATTCACTCGAGCAGCGGACAGCAACTCGCGTGTCCAAGTTCATCTGCCATATTGCCTTCTTAATGTTTAATACTTAATTTCATAGTTTAAGTGATGTTTGTAAGTACTATATTTTAAGTATTTAATATTGTAAACTGTGTGGATTGACAGTTACACGTTGTTCTTCACATTTACCGTTCGACTTAATGACGCAGTAAAATATAATGACCTTTCACCTACTTTTTCTCTGTGAGCTTCACGCGACACCTAGAGGCACTACATAGTATAATATTTCATTTCAGTACATGTTAAAGGGTCATATGATGCGATTTCAAGTTTTCCTTTCTCTTTGGAGTGTTACAAGCTGTTCGTGAATAGATAAGATCCCTAAAGTCGCAAAGACTAAAGTCTCAAACCCAAAGAGATATTCTCTATAAAAGTTAAAACTGGTCCACGCCTCCTAAGACGCCTCGTTTAAACACGCGCCCACATGAATACGTCACTATGTGGGAAGATTTGCATAACGCTGCCCAAATGTTCACGCAAAGAAAGAAGGCGTAACTTTTATTCTCGCTGTAGTATTGCTGCCGCCGCCATGTCGTGAAGACACTGTGTGTTTCGTTGTGAAAGAGGACACAACTAGAATTCAGTGGTTAAGTTTTATTTACAACACTGTTCCAGAACAGTACAACCCCAATATTCAAGTGTGTGCAGCACATTTTACGTAGGAAAGTTTCCTGAACCTGGTGAGGGGCGTAACATTTCCGTCACACGCTTGAGGTATTCGGCCAATCACAACGCACTGGATAGCTGGCCAATCACAGCACACCTCGCTTTTCAGACCGATGAGCTTTGTAAAAATCGGCGCGTTTCAAAAAGGCGGGGCATAGAGGAGAAACAATAATGTACAGTATGTGGAAAATAATGTGTTTTTTTAACGTTAAACCAAAAACACATTTCATTACACCAAATACACAACAATGTTCTTTTTAGCAGCATCATATGACCCCTTTAATTACTTGAAGAATATGATTGTAGATGATTATTTCTTGCCGATTATGATAAGTTATTGTTATTACTGTTTACTCATTGTTATCTTTGTTGTTTTCAGACCACATCTAGACAAATGTCCACGGTCTGAGACTTTTGAACAAGAAATGCCCTGTGGTCTGACTGTGCTGTCAATTCTTAATTATCTTATTAAAATCTGGCACTCATGTGTCCTTACCGACACACCTAACCCTAACTCCTCCTGGACTAGTGCACATACAGTTATAATTCATCCTTTTCCACACTGGGGATCAAAGAGACTAACATAGATTTCTAGATTTAATGCAAGACTTCCTGGTCCCTGACCAAATTATATTTATTTTTATTGCCATTTCAGTATCTATGGCTATTTTCATGGATCGAAGTATTTGAAAGAAACAAATAGTAGAGTAGCATACAGTAGTAATGAAGAAAAAACCAACTCACATCAATATAACAAACATTATATTAGATTTTTTCTTTCAATATTTGATAAATTTATCATTATTCCTGACAAAACATTTTTCAAAAACATCCTTTAGAGAACTTTGAGTGAAAACATTTCCCTGGTCAAATAACCTTGTGTCACTGAAACATGCATCTTCTGTAAGGCTGCTTTGAAACTATATGTATTGTGAAAAGCACTTTGCAAATAAATGTGAACTGAACCTAAAACTGTGAGCCTGTCACTAGAAATTGGGTGAAAGGTCACTTTGAGGTATAAATTAACAAATACAGAGTACTGACACTATTATCCAATTTTCTGTTTGCTGAAGATAGAATGAAGAAATCTGAGAGCATCTTAAAGATGAGCTTGTGCTTGATCTCAGATCAGCTCTACTGCTTGAGCGAGATGGTCTTATCGTGGTAACATCAACTTACTAGTTTACTAACCCTTAAACAGCATGTGAAAACTCAGACACACCATTTAACATTCTCACTTGTAGATGTTTTTTTTTTTTCTAGAGTGAGTGTTGCACTATTTCTTCAATCGAGATAAATTTGAGATCTTTGGTTGCACCTCCTGTTCGGCTGGTTTGAGCATCTCCTTTTAACCTTTTTTTTTTTTTTTTACTTGTACTGTAGATGTTTCTTTACAATTTAGGCTTGTAGGATCGCTGTGTTACAGAGACACTTACTTCCTGTTTTTTTTGCTGGCTCTGTCCAGCACCTGAAGGTCTTGTGTTAGTGTTTTCAGCTGCTCCGGTTCCACCTAAAGAGAGTTCAAACAGCAGATCTGTTACCACAACAGCAGAACCCAGAAAACCTACTGTCTGCTATATTTACTACTGCAGTTGAAGATTTGAAATTTGACCTAAATCTTTGATCTAAAAGCCCTCGTAATCCAGACAAACACTGACAAAACCACTGAGACAACTCTCACTGAAATGTTTGGGCTGCTGCACTAGCCGCTGCTCTACGGCAAAATGACATATGATGTCATATTTTGATCATATTTTCACGCTGCATAATAATTGACTTTTGGGTAAGGCACCTTCAAGGGCATATAGACAGGACAAGGCAGCGTCTCTTACCCTGGCCTGTTCTGACAGTTGCATGCTGGGATTGCGCCCATGCTCTTCTCCCATCAGTTTGTTCGGCCAGGGCGGGAAGCCTTTGATCGGCCAGACCAGCTCGCTCACATTGAAGGCCCGGGGCCTGTAGTGCAGCAGCTCTGCTGAAGGAGAGTCTGGGTGCCGCAGCTCCTCCTCGCTGCTGAGGCTCCTGGTGTCTGAGGGGCTGGGTGCACAGTGTCCGTTAAAGTGCCCGTTAAAGTGAGTGTAGTCTTTGAGCAGCGGCCCTTCCAAGCTGGTGGAGGATCCGGGTGACTGGTCGTCTCCGGTGAGCGGCTCCCCGTATCCTCCGCGAGGCAGCACTCCGTTGAGCTCCAGCCGCTCTCTGGAGCGGTGGCTAAACCGCAGGCTCGCGCTGTCATCTGTCTGAGCGTCGGAGGCCGTCTCCTGCAGACACTCCATCACGGTTTTTCTCTCTCTTTTGCTGCTGCATGGACTGCTGTGAACCTGGGTGGAGCACTCCAGAAACTCCTCTCCTCTCCAGTGCGCGTGGTTGGGCTCGTCCCAGTGCGGGCGAGGTGTGGCGGTGCTAGGCGAGCGGAAATACTCGTGCGTGTCTGTGCCGTCAGGCATGTTCTTGCTATGCTCGGAGCTTCTGCGCGTGTGGTTGGGCAGCTGCATTCGGCCGGGCTCCGTCCCCTCGGATCCGCGCGGCGCGTGTATGACCGCGTTAACGGCGTGAGGCAGGCTGAGCGGCGGGCCGATGGAGGCGGTGAAGGCACTCATGGCGCTGAGCACGGGGACGGGGCTGGCCTGTGTGCTCACGCCGGTAGTGATGGTCACATGCATGCCTTTGCCAGCGGCGTCCACCACCGCTCTGTAGATCGCATCCACAGACTCCACCGAACTCTGGCCTCCAGAGGCTCCCGCCATGGAAACGTCAGCCTGACCCTGCAGCTTCTGCGGAGCCTCTCGGTACAGACCTGTGTCTCCAGAATGAGAGCTCATCGCAGGCTGGACGCCGTCAGGCATGCAGCCCTGAAAACAGCAAAAACCACACAAACAAGAGTATGTCACTTAGAGCAGGCTAGCTACAGTCAAGGAAAGGACTGTTTACTGGACTGAGTGAGTCACCTGATAATCCTGGTACAGGCAAGGCAAGCTGTTGGAGTTGGGAACGTTACTGTCTGTAAAAGGAGCCGTTGCGAAGGAATGTCCCTGGCACGGATAAGCAGAGACCCCATGCATGCCCTGCAGTGTGGGGTGATGGTGGTACATGTGCCCCGCGGCCGCCGTCACGCCGCTCATCTGAGGAGTGTTAGCGATGCTGCAGCTCAGCGATGCCGCCTCGCCTGTTAGCAACAGAAGTGTTACCAGTCACATCTCCAAATACGACCATACACAGAGGAAATAAAATACGGAAAAGAATGCAAGCAGGATGTTTAAAAAATACAACCACAAGATGTAAAACAATATTATACTTTTAGCATAAGACTAGTGTGATTTGATTACTAATCTTGTAACTTTAAATGACCAAATTTACATCATGCTAGTAAAGCCACTAAAACAAAAAAATAGCCATGTGTAAACAATTGCAGATATTTCATTATATAATTACTTGAAGGCTCTTCAAAAGTGTGAAATACTTGCTCAATATCCCTCGAGATCCACTGTCCTTCAAGTGAGCTCCAAACCTGATCAAGATAATCACGAGGAAACTACAGCTGAGTTTGATCAGGCTGGACTCTGCGGGACGTCGAGGGCTAGAGCTGGAACAAGTAGCTTAAGTTTATAAAAACCAGCATGTTTATTGTGAGCGTGTGTGTAGTTTGCTGAGCTGCAGATCAGTGTGTAAAATCCTGTTCTGAATGATAAACGGTGTGTGGCGGCACAATGAATGCTAACTCATGATGTGCGTTCAGTGTGTAATCAAGCTTAAACCTCACACTGAACTCATGCATGTGCGACAGCAGTCGTGTCGTGTTGCATAATGAATGCTGCGTGTCACAGAATGACGGCCGCTGCGGACAGTGTGTGTGATCTACTGCCAGCGGCTGCTGGGGAGGTTGCCATGGAGACAGCAGTGAGATGACTGGTAGTGCTTTCCAAAGTATGATTCACACACACACACACACACGACTGAACAGGTCAGGGAAGATGTGGGTACACAGGGTATAACACAGGTTTTTAACCGTGTGAGTGCAAGTGCTCTAGCCAAGAAAACAGAAACAGGCTTGAAGCAGAACATGCTAGCACTGCATCTGTGCAGCGTTAGCAAAAAAAAAAAAAAAAGCAATTTACATGCATACATTGAGGACACAACCTCTTTCTTCTTTTTTAACCTCCTTTTCTTACAATCTAACAAATTATTGAATTTGGATATTAAGTGTGATTATGACAACGATTATTATTATGACACATTATGGTGAGCTGACAGCAGGTAATCTGCTCTCCAATGTAATTAACTTAGATAGATTGACTTAATGACCGAGATTTGAACACTGTTTTCAAGTGACTCTCATAATGATCAAAAGATGCTGCACACATCAGCAGAACCTGCTTACAGAATACGACTCGTCACTTCAGATCAGATAGTGCTGTCAAACGATTAATCACGTCCAAAATTAAAGTTTTGTTTACATAATATATGTGTGTACACTCACTGTGTATATTTATTATGTATATATAAATACAAACACATGCATGTATATATTTAAGAAAAATATGTTATGTTTATATATTAAATATATTTATAATATAAAATATAATATAAATATATATATGCATATACATGTAAATATTTATAAAAAATATACTGTATGTGTGTGTATTTATATATACATAATAAATATACACAGCACACATAAATATATTATGTAAACGAAAACTTTTATTTTGGATGCGATTAATCATTTGACAGCACTACTGGGATGGAACAGAAAATCCTGCTTATTGTTTATGCAAAATTAAAGAAATCATGGAAAAGGCCAGTTTTGCCTAGAGGGTTAAGCCATTTTTACCCTTGATTTAGTGCGATTATAAGAACTGACTTGTTGGCCATATGAATTTAGCTGCTTAGCAGATGATTTTATCAGTATCAACTTATGTTATATAGTGGTGAATATAGTTTAAAAGGTGTTTGTGTGTGACTATATGCACTATATAACAGCTCCAGCAACTCACATATTCATTAGAACATCATAACATATATCAATATTTAGAGTGGTAGTTATTACAAAACTGAATTTAGCAGGGCTCAATTTGAGAGTTTTTTTCCAGATCTACTGCCCTGCAAAAATGTTCAATGGCTTGTCACAAAAAAAATTACAATCAGTTATTGTTTTTAAGCCATATGAACGACTGCTTCCAAATCATTAGAAACATTCTTTTTCTTCTGGCCCTGTAATTAGAAACTGCCACCAATCAGCTAAGATCAACCTAAAACCTAAAATCTGGGCTGAGGTGGGCGATATCACCAAAATCTTACATCACCATACAGGTAATTTTATTTCAATATAATATTTATGTTTGAAATAAGGGTGTGATGATGCCAACATGTTAGATAGTAGTGAAATTTCATAATTCTCAATACCAATTTGGTTTAACCATCATCAATACGCTGGATATTCTCCTCACCTCGGTCATCAGCGCCGCTGGGCAGCATGCAGGTGATGTTCGGCGGGACGTGCTGCTGAAAGTGAGCGCTCGCGTGTCCCATCACATGGCTTCCGCTTTGGTTCATGGGTCCGCAGTTTCCCATCGCTGTCGCCTGCATCTGGTTCATCATGCCTGGATACTGGCCCTGGGCTGGGAGCGCCACAGACTCCGCGCCGGGGCAGAGCATGGCCTCCGTCTGTCCCTGCAGCCGCTGCTGGACCTGTGCGCTCTGAGGCCCCGCTCCGGAGACCACGGCCCCCTCGCTAAAGTGTGCGCGGCCTGGGTTTCTCATGTGGGAGCTGTGGTTGTTCAGAGACTGGAGTAGCTGGGCCATTGACGTGTTGGAGGGCAGTCGAGAGGTTTTTCTCATAAGCTCAGCGGAAGGACAGGGCGTCCTCATGTTGAAGAAGCTGTTCTCGTGGTTGGCAGCGTTTGGAGGAAGCTTGCGCTTGCGTAGAGGGTCGCGCTGCTGCGCCATGAGCTTGTCCCGAAGCGCCGCG